TTCGTCAGTACAGCAGCGCCACTATGTATCTTTGATTTTTAAGTAAATTCTTAACTCTGTATAACCTTTCTCAGCAATTGTCATTGACTGAGAAATTCAGTCAGTAACCTTTACCTTGTCAAGTAACATATGACTTATAGAAGTTTTATTTGATTCCAGATAGATAAGCGGAGCGGTCAAGTGAGTAAAATATAAATATATAAATAGAAACGTATTTAAAAAATATATTAGAATTTGTTAATGACCTGCACACATTAGATGAATAAGTGTGCATTAAGAATAACATTATTTTACCTGAATTGTCCTTATCGGACTGTCTTCTTTCTGCAATCGACTTTCTGATAATGGAATCGTCATACCGTCAAAAGGTAGATTGATAGTGCTTCAGTGTACGGACAGGTCTTCTGAAATAAGGGCAATATAATGATCTGACACTTATTTTTCGCTTGTAGTAGACACATGATATAATGATTGAATAGTGATACTTCATTTAATCACAGAAAATTCTATAGAGAAGCATAAGTCTATGTAAAAGACAGGATTACATTCTCTCTTTTTCTTAATATAGATACAGATAATTATAATACATAAACTCATAGGAAATTGTCACCTTCGTATCTCGAGAAATTCGTAGTGTTTTATGTTACCTAATTTCTGTACAAGATGGCGATAGTGTGTTGCTTGTAGTTGCTTTCGTTTTGCTTTTTAAAATTACTTTTAAGAACATGTAATTTAAAATATACCTAAACGCATTGAAACTACAGTTCAAAATCCAATGCAGAAAGACATAATCTGCAGCCATGGCCGTGTACCTAAAATGAGTGTAGGTATTAATGAAAAAAGCTCAAAAAAAAATACATTTTACCTGGCACTTTGAGATGAACTCGAACCTATGACCTTTTGCAATCTGGGTGACTGCTTTACCCTCTGAGCTATCCAGGATCTACCAGGACTGACGATGTTTTTCAAGGACTTGTTATTTTTTGCCACTACATAGCAGTCGCCCGAATTGCGAGAGATCATTGGGTTCCAGTACCATCTCATAGTGCCAATGGCAAAGTGGATTAGTTTTTAAATTTCACTAAGATTATTTTTCAGTATAGCATAGTGAAAACAAAATTGATCAAATAATGTGTATTAATTTTAAAAAGTACGTAAAATTTCTCTTATAGAGCCTGCTGGGTGCTATCGAACCACGCGACCGTCGGAGACATGGAGTAAGTGGTAGTCACCACAATATATATACCGACAGCCGCAAAGAAAATACAGATATCTATAAATATACGATTATACAGTACATCGTTTTAAAGGTTTGAAATGTAATAACTTTTATAATAAACAAGCATTATTATCCAAATTTGGCTTACTTACTGAACAACAAACTAGCTATCAACTGGTTATCGCAGATATTCTATTTTTTGTGGAATTTTCAGATAGCTTTATTTACTTCGTACCAAAAACTACCACATATATTTGTACACGATGTGCTTTTAAACCTTTAAACTACTAAATTAAAGAGTTATGAAATCAAATATTGTTATCAATTTTACTATATAAATTTACCAGCATTCAAATATATAAAAAATTAGACTGATTTCCCTAAAATTTTGTAATTATCTCAACGTACTTCATTCTGTTTATAAGGCAAGATTATTTAAATAACGATATGTGTTCTAAAAATGATAAAAGAAACGTTAAAAATGAAAGACATATTAAAAAATATGATCAATGTATAAATCACGATTTAAAATGGCAAATATTAATTACTTTTCGGAAAAGAATTCTAAGAAATATTATTCTTTATTTTCTGTCATAATGAATTTCAAGTGCTTTATATTTGACGAAAGTTTCATCCCACATACAAAAAAACCGCATTCAGTGCTCATATCAAAGTTGTAAAAATTAAAGACTTATAATTAGCGCTTAAAATAGAAAGCTATTTCAACATGAGGTAGTGAGAGGTAGTGAGCATATAAAGATGCTTGAAAATTGAAACTTGCTGCTGGTACCTTCGTTATATCATGAGCTTTCGTCTGAATCTGTCAAGAAGCTTGTTGCTAGTTCTTTACCTTGCAAAAGTCCCCTTGTCAAAGTGAACACGTGACTTTCAACTTGTATTTCACCGAAGTACATGCAGACTACTACAGATGTCCGTATATACATCGTTGCTTTATGAAATCGGTGTTTAGTTTTCTTTATGTACGCGAGGTAATCTCAAGAAGTAATGATATTACAGGCATGAAAAAATACGTGATCGAATAAAGTATTCTTTAAAAGCGTTTTACGAAAAACAGTGAGTTTGATCAAAAATGTAGCTGTCTGTTTGTTCTTTGCTGCCGTCGATATATACTACAATAGTATTTATAAATCTGTCACATTTCTACACTAAATTTTAAAACTTAAAGTATTATAAGTATAATGGAAAATTGATTGCATATTGTGAAAGCCTGGCATCCTGCTGTGTTTGTGTGTGTATCATAAATTGTATAGAGTAGTTAGTCAGTTTTACATTCTTCAATACTTAAGGTATAAGGGCAAGAATTTGACTCAAAATACCCTCACAGACACAATTAACCCTCTATTTCCTTCAATTCATAGAAATCGCCAAATTTAGACCATATTTTATGAAAGGAATCTTAAAAATTATACTTAAATAAAGAGAAACAACAAAAATATCGGAAGAAATTCTTTTATTAAAGTATTCTTACCAAAAATCGAATTTTTAAATTGTTCAATGTAAATTTTGAAATTTTGATTTTTGAAACCATTATGGATTATGGACCCTCCATACTGTTTCAGTTATAGTGCATGGAGCAAGCCTCTCATTTTGACGCCTGTAGACACACTAATGTCCATCTGGACCTCTTAAGGCTATTTCTGCTCTCATCTGAGAACAGTACGTTCTTCCATTCCTCTACAGTCCAATCAGCATAGTTTCGCGTAAAACCAAATCTAGCTCTAAGGTGTTGTGGGAGCAGTTGCGGAGCACTAGCTCAACGAAAAGCCCTCAAATTAATTCCTGCTAGTCTTCTTCTAATGGTACGATCACTGACACTTATATTTCTCACCTCAAAGCTTCAGCAGCAGTCGAAAAGTGATTTCACAATACATTGGTGACAATAAAACCGTAATCTTGAGTCCATCGATGTCGGCCTCGACCTAACCTCCGGGTGTATAAGCCTGTCTCCCAAATTCATCTGATGTCATTTCATACCGTAGTTACACAGAGTGTATGATCAGCTAAAGCCACTGCTCTAGCTACGTCAGTTACATCGAGTGGCATTTTTGCAATAAAAAACAATGAGCAAACACTATAATTTGAAATTAAACAATATTCGCCCACTACGATAAAAATAACTGGAAATGTTAACTCGGTAACACAACAGCAACAATGTAAAACGACTAAATTCCGAAATACTTCGGTGACACGAATTTAGGAAAGAAAATAATAGTATAAAGTATTTTATATAATGCTACACTACCTACTTAACAAAAAAACAAAACAGTTAATAAGCCATAGTTAAAGGAACCAAACACGATGATGAATGATACAGGTGGGCGGTTAATTGTACCTGTAGTGTAGGTATTATCTATTCGATTCCATCCAAAGGGAAGGCTTGAGCCCATAAGAATCATAAGGTCGATGAAGTGACAATTTGTAACCAATATATTTTATTTATATATAGACAATAGATTTCCTTATCGCTAAACGATGATCTTTTTAGGCAACCTGTGAGCTAATCTGAAATCTATTTCAATCCCCTTCAATGGTAAAGCGATTGTGATTACAATTTATGGAATTAAAATATATGTGATAAAAAGCTACCTTTAATCCTATTCTTGCTTAGCAAAATAGCTAAAAATCAAGCCGTGTTGGAATTATGAACAAACATACATTTATGATCTTGATAATTAGTTTAATAGGCTAATCTTAGATAAATGGCTATTTTATTATAAATTCTAGGCACCGAGTCAAGCTCCTGTGTCTTATGAAGTGAAAAGTACTTGGGAGGAAGCGAAAAACTACGATTTCAATGCTGAAAGAGGAGAAAATCGGAAGACCGTCTCGTAAGTAGAGAAAGTATAATTCATACGAATTAACGTGACACCTGAGAGCCTATTCTATTTATCCTCGAATAAAAATTATTTGTGAAAATTATCTGTGCATTAGAGACAGTGTAAGGTATCTTTAGAGTCGTATTATCTTATTGAAAATAAACGAAATTTCGAAGGCCTGAGCCCTAGCAGTGGTGATGTGATGAGTTCAACATGAATCTAAGGAAGAATCTGAGGGCCTACCTACCCAAGCAATTCTTAGTGCCACAATTTTAAATTACGATAAAAAACTCATTCCACGATGTTTTTATTCCATAAATTCATTACAGGTAAGTTAGCGAGCAAACCTGAGTGACTTATATATCAACTCACAGCCGAAACTATTGTACCTTGAAATTTGGTACAGGGGTACCTTTCATGATATAATAAGAAAAGATTTTTGGAAATTCGACCTCTAATGCCATTTATAAACTGACGGAATCGTATGCGAATGCGAAAAATTTTCGAAATATTGTCAGTTGTATAGGAATGTTTCACGTGTGCTTTGTCTTGCTTTATTATTAGCTCGATGAATTAGCTGCGTTTTTGTCAGTAGTACGCACATATTTCGCATTCAGGGTTGCCACCCATTCTGATTTCTAATTTAGCCACGAATTTTATTTCTCTAAAAGTGACAACCCTATTCGCATCGGTATAGTCTTCCAGATGTTTCAAATTCACAATCAAATTCGTCTGTGTACTGACGGCTTAAGGCGAAAAAGGACTGAAGTCTATACGATATGTCAGTCAGGTTTGTCTGTTATATACTTATATATAGATACAGGACCACGCGGGCGAAATCTAGTTTGAAATATATTCCGCTTCAGTGTTATAGAGTCCATTGGCCACTTGGTCAAGAGCTGCTTAGGAGGTGGCATAGTTTCCATCCACGAGTCTTACAAAGTATGCGGCCTGTGGACAGCGGTAGTATTGAATGTATTTTTGGGAATGGCCGTCGCTTACGGTATGTATGTAAGTAGATTTTTCCACTAATTCTCACTTCAACTTTTTGGTGGGAAAGTGACGGAATTTTGTTTGTCGTTGAATTTTTTTAATTTTGTTTTGTTACGTCACAACGGTGCGTTTTTGGTTTTGTTCAGAGTTAATTTTTTTTAATGTGAACATATGTTTCACCTATTACTAAGCATGCAAATTTATACAGACTTATTAATTATTGTTGAATTTATAATGTAGATCTGTATGACAAACAATTCTAGTTACATTTAAACGTCACAATTAAAATATCAGATACAATGTGCGTATTTAAATAATAATAAATCATAATTTTGACCATCTGGAATCTACTCTAAAAATCTATCTCTATATGTATATATATATAACTCAAAGGTGTCTGACTGACAGTGATCTATCAACGCACAGCCCAATCCATAGAACGGAAATCCGTGCTTGCATGCCAAATTTCAATCCAAATGGATTGGATTGAAATTTGGCATGCAAGTAGATTTTATGACGTAGGCATCTGCTAAGAAAGGATTTTGACTAATTCTACCCCCAAGGGGATAAAATAGGGGATGAAAGTTCGTATGAAAATTTATCAATTTTAAACGGATCGGGCTGAGATTCACGCGGACGAAGTTGCGGGCAAAAGCTAGTTACGTATAAGTTTCATATGCTGTTGGTCTTCCCGAATAAATATCATTTATCGTTGCTGATTTTTGTATATTGTATGGTGATAAAAAGTATTAATGTCACAGTAAGATAGATAAAGCCGTAATATAGTTATATCCCTAGGGATATAATTATATACCGTAACATAGTTATACGGAAGCGATTCATTACTATCTCACTAGTATAGTTATAAAGCGGTCCAAGTTTAGTGATATACTTATATTACTAGATTAAGTTTAGTGAAATAGCTGCCGAAAACTTAAGAAAAGCCGCACAAAAAATGAAAACCCACTCATCACACAAATTTCCTGACATTGACGTGGGATCTTCAGTTCTTATAGAGATACCAAAGATAGATCGTGGACTATTTGATCAATAAAATGTATTAGGAAAAGTTTTAGAAAAGCGAAATGAATGTGATAAAATTGGAACATCAGTTGGTATCCTGAAAGATCGGTTACCCAGAAATGCAATACAGCTTTCAAACATTACTTTGAATGATCCTATACCAAATGAAAACTTGTCACTGAAAGAAATATGGTCTTGGTTGCGCAGTGGATAAGCGCCGCGGCCCGCGATCGTTACAAATTATTATCTCGAGCTACTCCGTGCTTCGGAAGGCACGTTAAGCCGTTGGTCCCGGCTGCATTTGCAGCGTGGAGGGTCGTAGCCTGTCCTCCTTAACCATCCATAAGGAAGGCCTGAGCCCCTGCAGTGGGGACGTAAATGGGCTGGTGATGATGATGATGATAAAGAAACCAAGATCTCAATTTATTTGATAAGAAATAAAGATATCTCAAAACTGTTCATTAGCTATAAAATATTTAATGTTTGATTACATAGTTTTAATTGAATTGTTATTGTTGTATAAATTCGTATATGATCGTTTTAATTATAATTGAAATTACTTTAATACACGTTAATGTCACAAAGTATTATAACTAACTGCAGGATAAATAAAGTTGATTTTTAATTAAGGATAAAACCAATATAATATTATTTTATTTAATTATATATGGTAGATTTCTATTTCACTAAGCTTAATCAAGTAATATATTTATAACACTGAACTTAATCTAGTAATATAAGTATATCACTACACTTGGACCGCTTTATAACTATATTCCTAGTGAGATAGTAATGAATCGCTTCCGTATAACTATGTTACGGTATATAATTATATCCCTAGGGATATAACTATATTACGGCTTTATCTATCTTACTGCGACAATAATACCAAATGAAGGTTAACATCAACGAGGGTAAAGCGGGTCTAGAGCTGGTTCCTAGAATCTTGTGTTTTTAAGTCTTGTAATCTTCACTATTTATAATATTCCAAATTATTCAATATCTTCATGCAAGCACGGATCTACAGTTTGGTGCTCTGTTAAATCATAGTTTATTTTTGCACTATATGAATTTTTATTTATATTCAGATATAAGGATTTTTTTACTGTGTAAGTAGTTATTAGGGTACATTCATAAATATCAACGGATATATATCGATTGATATATACGTTGATATATATTAATTGATATATTTATAACATTCATTGTTTTAGTCTCAGCTAGAAATTTACCAACCTAATAATAAATTTTAAAAGATTTTCATATGTATGATGTATATCGAATAAATATCAGATATTTAGATATTTATTATAAATATCGGTTTATTGCGAATCCTGGTAAGATTCTGGTAGGATAAATAATCATAATTTAAGCGCCCCCCTGACACTGACGCCCGGGGCAATTACCGCCACTTGCCCTACCCACCCCCTCCCCCCCGTAGATCCGGTTTTCACTTCATTGACTTTAATGTGTCAATTTAAAGAAATAATCTTTTTTTTTTTAGTAAATAAAAAGATATTTTTTTCTAACACAGATACTAGCTAAATCTGCGCAAAGAATGTACGGAAGAGTGAAAATTCCCAAGATGACATATCCTGACCTGGCACAGTGTTCTTTACAAGTGGGACCTTGGCCAAGACTAAAGAAATACGCTAAATATTTTCGGTATACATACTAATAGTGTTTATTATATATCCATTTTACATGCACAATGTTGTATAATACCTATATGAATAATATAATTTATATCCATAGGTTAAAGCGATTCATGCTAGTCTAAGAACAAAATGTTCTACGTAATTGATTTAATAGTAAAAACAATCATAAGTCTTTTTTTGGTTACAAATTCGAAATCCATGTCAGGATCCTAAATCGGACGAGAGTAATTAAATTAATTTTCAAAATAACGTACATATATTTCAATTAAAACACACCATTTCCTCAAAAGCAATTATAAAATGCATTAATTAAAATAGTTCGCGTCTGGATAGAGCTAATAATTAAAGAATAACGACCTTCTCAACTTAAATTATTCAATATGGGACATGCAAAAAATTAACATAGTTTTTTTGCAATTATAATACATGATTCTATATATTTTTAATATTTAGAAGTTAAAAGGGATAATATAATAGATCAGTTAGATTTTTATAATTGCCATAGAAATTCGTGGGACACCCGTTGACACACCCGCGAGGGACGTCTTCTGGCATAGTTTTAAGAGCTACAACATCTGATCAATTAATGTGATATTATTATCCTATAGGTATGCTGTTGATCTTGTAATCACAATTGATTTATTTGGGTCATGCTGCGTATACCAAGTCATCATAGCGAGAACCATCAAACAACTTGTAGAAGGGACAGACGATGTCAGCATGGAAGGGAATCCACCAATCAGGGTTTATATTATAGCACTCCTGATACCCTGTATACTTCTCTGCATGATACTATCGTTGAAATATCTCGCGCCGTTCTCATTGGTTGCAGATGCTTTCATAGGTATGTTTTATCATTATCTACACCAGGTTAGTATAACCATAGACCATATGTTGATTGCGGTTGCTTAGAGCTGCAGATGTAGCCATGACCAATGCCTGCCGAAGCACAATTGGATCCGAGAGAGATATTTTCGTCACCAACTTTTGCGAAGGGTGCTTAACTTCAGCAATTGCAGATCGAAAACGCTAACCATCTACGCCTTTACCCAAGAATTCTCACATAATATCGTTAAACATCTTTTTACATACCGATTACTGATGCAAAACTATTTTTACAGTCATTGTTGCAATTGCAACAATCTACTATGGAGTGAAGTTTTCTACCCAAAGTCCTACTGAGTTTGAAATCTTCAAAACAGTTCCTGGGCTGTTTGAGTTCATGGGCGCATGTGTATTTAGTATGGAAGGTGTAGGTGTCACTTTAGCCGTGGAGAACAACATGACTCATCCAAAGAAAATCCCATTGGTTCTTATAGGAGGTGAGATAATCATCATCAGCTTATTAATGTACACTGTTGGTGTACAGGATACCCTGTTAATCCACTTTGAGAGGACTAGATTTAATCGAGACACAAATGAGCGTGTGATGGAGCTTAGATGAAGCTAACAGAACTGGTGAGAAGCACGGCGTGTAAATATTACACACATCGAACATTTTTAACCCGCTCATGACTCATAAATATTTCACGTATACATATATCTTTGGGTCATATATTGAAACTTGGTAGATCCATATCTTTAATTACATTTAAGTAAACGAATAACAATCGTCTATTCTTCAGGTATGGCTATTGTGGTATCAATGGTGATGATAGTGGGCTTCTTTGGGTACTGGGGCTTTGGTGAGAAGAGTAAGTCTCCAGTAACCGTAAACTTTCCTTGGGAAACGTAAGTTTGTAAGCCTGTATGTCCATTTTTTACAGAATGTATTACGGAGTTATATCCCAAAATTTACATGAGCTCATCCAGCCCAGCATATCCCAAAACTCCACACAAAACGCTTCTCCACATCATTTATATTACGTACAGCTAAGGGTCTCTTCAACATAGTTAAAAGTTAAAAATATTCATGTTTTAAAAATTAAACTACGACTAGAGTCTTAGTTTTAAAGTGCATATTGTTACCAGAGGCCGCGTTAGTTGTTCCCAAGAATATTTATACTCGTAACTATTTTTGCCATCACGTAAAAATGGTGCTTAAGGGTGCTTAACCAATCTTTCTAATCTTACTCATTTGATCCTATTTGAAAAAAATAAATAAAGCAAAAGCGATAATAGACTGTTATTACCTTCAGATTTCCGGTGATCTTGAAGGTGTTCATGGCACTGATGGTCTACGTAACTTTCGCTCTTAACTTCTGGGTCCCATTCGAATTGGTATGGTATTACCTCAAGCGACGTCATCCTTCTGAGAAGTATTGGTTATGGGAACGCGTCTACAGGGCAGCCTTTGTTCTAGGCATCACATTAATAGCTACCGCATTCCCCAACGTTTCCAAGCTCATTGGAGTGGTTGGTTACATATTTATTTCGTAACATCATCATCCTACTAATGCCACCAACTTCTGGGGCATAGGCTTTCCCTTTGCATGAAAACCAATCAAATAGAAAGAATGGGCTAAAGCCCACGAGAGCGGATTGGTGAGTGTTAACGACTGCAGATTCAACCAGTGGTTTAACATGCCTTTTGAAGCATGGAAGAGTTCCAAATAACAAATTTTTGGCCTGGCCCTTGCAAAAGTTGCTTAGCCTATGTATTGCAGAACGAACGAACTGACCACTAAACCATCGAGTTATTCTTTTATAACATTTACATATAAACGGAAAAAAATCCTTCATTGGACGCACCGACGGAGGCAAAATAGTCATATATTAGGAGTCGTTTTTGAAACCATGCACGTTTGTCGACGCCGAAACAATCCCAAAACAACCATCACTTACCCTATCTATATTCGCATGGCTTAGTTAAGCATACTATAATTCTGATGGTGTAGTTTTTCAAGAAGACTCATGAAATTTTGGTAGGTATTAATCGATATTCTATTTTAAATTGATGTTAATATAATTTTACAGATTGGCTCTTTCTGCTTATCCAATATGGGCTTCATTTTTCCTGCTTTCATTGAGCTGAGCCTCGACTGGGAATCACCTGGTCTTGGTTTCATGAAATGGAGACTCATCAAATTTATCATAATACTGATATTCGGAACTATACTGTGCGTTGTTGGTACAGTACAAAATGTGAAGGAATTGATTAAAGAAGTTTTCTTGAGCGGAGATTAAATTGTATGATATATTTTTAAAATAATGTATTAGGGTCGATATTTTAATACTCAATTAAAGTTCGTAATATAACATACCGCTAATAATAAATGATGATAACTTGAAAATAAATGTGATTATATAGTAGCTAAAATTCCTCTTCAGTTCTGGGTGAATTATAGTAACCGTTAATCAGAATAATCTCTCGGGATTGAGGACTACACGTTGTAATCCTAATCTTTAATTGTGAATTTATCCTACATGAAAATGAAATTATGATTATATATACATATATAATCATAACCTTCAACTTAGAATGATCTTGACTGAAAGTGACCATAATTCAGAATTACATTTGGTCTATCTCAGAATCAACTTCTTATCAATCGCAGAATTCCCATTACGCGATGCTCAAACTCTCCATGCTAACTTTCGCCCTTATCTTTGCATGCATAGCATGATGAATTCGAGAGACAACGCATCCAGAATAACTTTATGCTACCCGTAATATTATAGCAATGATGCATGACCAATGAGCAGCGTCGGATTAAGACTACTTTATGCCCTAATTAATCCTCATGTATCCTCCATTCTCAAATAAACTAGTATAAATTACATTAATATAATATAAATTTCATTTTATCCAATAAGACATGTCGTCGGATATGTGAATAAATGTGACGCTACAAGAGATACGAGAAATACAAAACTTATACAAAGAATGTTTGTGCTGGTTATTTTTCGTATTATTTCTGGCGTTTCCAAGACGTGATTCCCTAAGCAGCAGCTATTTGCTTCTTGGCTACTCCGACACTGCCCATGAGATCTAAAAAACATATTCGCTTTTGTTACGTTATCAAGCAAGGTCCTTACATCATGATTCATCGTGTGATTGTTATTAATGTTTTTTGCACTATAATTTTACGTTTCTGACCCGTGGAACACCAAAGTGGTTCACCTAGGTGTTCCACTGTTAACTTTTTCTACCCCTGGATCACCTAGGTGTTCCACGGTTAATTTTGTTTACCCCTGGTTCACCTAGGTATAATTTTTCTGTGGATACTCTTTTCGTTGATCTACTTCTACGGCTTACTTTTTGCACCTCTAAATATTAAAATCTATTGGATTATTTCTACACAGCCAACAATTCCGTTTAAAACTTTCTTCGAGTGTAGGAAATTGATGGGAATCGAGACCGCTGACCATCCTTTCGTCCTCTACTTATGTACTGGCCACTTAAAAAATATGAACTCTTTTATTTATTTATAAATTATATAGCTAGTATTTTTATTTTAAAAATGATATAATGAAAACATTAAGTGTATTAAGACAGCATCACCGTACCAATAATGTTACCGAAGGCTTCAATACCAAATGAAACAGAGCGCTAAACAAAAACACAGTGACATTATTTAGATCTTTATTTTTTTAGAAAAAATTGTATCAGTTGCACCTGCTGATAAAAATTCCTATTAAAAAAGAAAAATAATTCTCGAAAATGATAACTATATTCTCAACATACAAATGCAATTAGTTAATAAGGAAATCACTATAGTGAGTGCATTAGGAAAGCTACGTAATTAGGCGTTTTTTTTATGCGATCCAATCATTTGACACTATTAATTAAAAGTAGAATATTCACCCCTGGAGTAGTCTGTTTTCTGTCTCTTATTAAGTTATTACATTACCAAAATAGATTTCTTTCTTGTTTTGTCCTGAAAATCTTTAATTTTATAAGTTTTTGAATTATTTACGGTGACTTGTGTTTCATTAGATAGGTGAACTACGGGTACATTATTTTGAATGACAGAACACCTAGGTGAACCAGGGGTACAAAAAGTTAACAGTGGAACACCTAGGTGAACCACTTTGGTGTTCCACGGGTCAGAAACGTAATTTTAATGCTTCAATTGGGGCACATAGTTTTGTGTCTAGAAAGAAAAACACTTTTGTATGACCCAACGTACTTTGATTGAGCTTTATATTTGTTTTATTGACGAATGAAAGAAATATCTACTAATAACTTGGTTATCATTTTATCCTATGTATGTAGATTTTTTTCGATGCAATTAAATATTTTCAGAAATTGATGTTTTAGTTTTTTTACATATATTATAGAAAAAAAAATATTATATTTGACCAATTTTGCATTCACAATGTTATACTGAAAAATATTCTTAGAAAATCCATTTTATCCAGAGATATGATCCGAACTTTCGCAAACCGGATGACTACTATAACCACTGAGCTACCCAGGACCTAACAGGACTGAAAATCATTCGAGCGCTTGTTACTTTCGGTTAATTTGGTATTCACGATGCCATACTGATGATATTCTTAAGAAAAATGCTTAAAAATCCACTACCGAAATTAAGCCCCTATTCCACATAGGGGCCATCCATAAATTACATCACACAAAATGCAGGATTTTAACCCCCCCCCCTCCCCCCCCCCCCCCGTCACCTATTTATATATATAAATTCCACAAAATATTGGAATAACGTCACAGTTTGTCGACCCCCCCCCCCCACCTCCTAAAGTGTGACGTAATTTATGGATGACCCCATACCCCTACTGGTAGGGATACTAGGTTTTTTTTCCAATTATAGCTACCGGTAAGGATATAAGAAATCTGCTACTCCACATGTCTCCACCGATTTGCACTGGTTGGGATACTTGGATTTTTATTTCCATTTATCGCCAGTAGGGATAAGTTTTTTAATATTATGTATGACATATGAAGTGTTCATACAATAAAACAAGTCATATTTTTTACAAAGAATGTATAAGAAGATAAATCTGTGACAAATGCTGGTCAAATTTGCAAAAAAACTTCATTACTACAGTGATGGATTTATCACTATCGATAAAAATAAATAAGAGTACTATGGTTTAATTTTAATATTTATTTAACGCAATTTTTCTAATGCGTGGCCTAATGTAATTTCGTGGTTCAGAAATTACAATACAATTTGCACTAATAAATCATCATTATTTATGTCTGCTCATTTCCGTTTTAGGCACTGCATTCAAATTGTGGATATTCTGCATTACATTTAGTAAACTGTGAAATGTACCATCAGCGAAATATTCTTTAATGTGCAACAGTATCTCTCGACGTTCTTAACTAAAAACAATTATATGTGTGTTATCTGCGAGATTTTGATAATCTGCCTGCACAAATTCCCGAAATTTCAATGGGATTTTTGCTTCATTTGCTTTGTTGAATACAGTCTTCGACCCTCCCGCGGACTTGATTCTGGCATAATTAAGCAAATGCTTCACACTCTCGTATGCTGGAAATTCATCGGCTTTGTTGACAGATTTATTTTTTAAATCTAATTAATTTTAAATTAACTAAATCTATCATTCAAGAGCACTGCACTAATTAAACTTGCCATGGGTCCGAATTAAAGTTCCCATGACACCCCCAGGGTGTTCTCCAGGGGAGCCTTGGGTCCGGAAGGGATACTTGTATAGGTGTACCAAAATCGGGAATGGCAAATCGGGAAATTTTAAATAGTAGAAGGCAATATTTGTAACTAGCTCTATATTGCTAATCTCAACTAATATTGCAACTGCTGTTCTTCTTTTCACTGTTCCTATTTTTACCCGATGTACAAAGATAATATTTTTACTATACGAGTGTATAATTCCTTTCTAATAACTATTTCGACGCGTTCAATTAAGTGTAATATAAACATTAACGCGTAACTAGTGAACGCGTTAGAAAATTTATGGTGCTACATATTTGTAGTTAATAAAAAAATACACTACACTCTGATTATAGAATATAATTATATTCAGTTATAAAACGCAGATAGCGGAACCCGTTGAAATAAAAAATAAAATATCAAATCTTCAGTTTATTACTACAAGCTATTGGATTGATGCTACAAAATACTGGCCACACCGGTTGGACCTTTACGCCACGAATTAACATTCGCCATCTGGAAAATTAAAAACATCTATACTTTAAAATAATATAAAGCTGAATTTGATTGTTTGTTAGCATTAAATTTACTGAACCGATTTTAAAAAATCGCTCGACTACGACAAGGCTCCATTCATCATACGCGAATGATGGATGAAGTCTCAATAAAACATTTATAATTGTAGATAATGACATTACAGCCACTTTTTTGAGTTAAGATAAGTGGTAAGCAACCGCCAACAAATGTTTCAATGATTGACGTGTCAGAAGTCGAAAATTCAAGACGCATCGAAAGATGATTTTAAGAATATGCCCTTTAGCTCTCAAGAATGTATCTACTCCCTAGTAATTGGGCAAGCGACGAATGTGGCTCTTTTTTAAATTATGACCATTTTAAGAGTTACTAGGAAGTTAAGGGGCTAAGGAGACCGCAAGACTTTCAAAAATAAACACGCTCCCTTACATAATAGGATTGTGTCCTACAAGTGAAAATACAGATCTTTGTTACATGTTCGGAAAATATGGACTAATTCAACTTAGAAATATTTTACAAAATAAATTTTAGGACACTAATTTGGATTATATTACCCTTTGAAAACTTGAAAACAATAGGGAAAATATACTACAAAACTTTGCTTATTACATATGGCATTAAATTGGTTATATAAAACTCATACGCTTTTCGATACCGTAGCACTGTGTGACGTTACTTAGTGCCTTGAATTTCTAGTGAGCATTTTTGGTCGACTAGCAGCTGTTCCACAAACATAGCACCGTATCTCCGAAACTATTAATGGCAGACGTGCTGTTACTTCTACATTATTTCTCAGATATTCATGAACTTTATTCATAAAATAAAAAGGTTATCAATTAGCATATTACATGTGTCCACATTAGTGTGGTTTAACTCATTGCCAGTCCCTCAGAATAATAACAAATGACCTTCGGTTCAGCGCCAGCATATAAAATTTGTACTAATAACAATGACGTTTTATAACAATTAAGTGCGTTGAGTTAGATGTGCAGAGTGATTACACGATAGGAGCGCTGTTTTTTTTACAAGATAGGAAGAATTTCTTTTTACTCC